TTGAAAAGAGGGAAAAGGCATAATTATTTGATTTAAAAAAATCTAAGTACACTATTTGATGCTGCTACCTGGTATCAAGGCACATGTTGTCTGTCCACATACTGGAGAGAATGAACAAGCCCTATACGATGTTCTCTTCTTAACTATAATCAATTTGATGAAAATAAGAGTTTGAACTTCTTATCCATATTACTTTCAGGGTTGCAAATCACAATTTGAGCACTGAACAACAGGTTATGTAAGGTTGGCTTTTGTGCTGCAGTGAAAGTGTGAGCAGAAGTTTCATATGGTCACAGGTTGGGCTGAGCATTAGGTATAGTTCTTTAAGCACATGCATACTTCCTACTGAAGTCAATGGGACTAAAACACATTCATAATGTTAAACATATGCTTACGTGCTCTCCTGAACAGGGATGGACTTAAGCACAGACTTAATTTTTTCCCTGAATTGGAGGCACAATAAGGCACTTAGGGACCATATATTTAAAGGTATTTAGGCATCTGAAGAAGCAACTAGGTGCCTGGAACTAGATTCACAAAAGGGACTGAGTTTTGCAACACTGCAATCTGACCCTTCAATCCAAATTTCCTTCTCTGGGACCTGCTCCAGCTCCTGTTAAAGACAATGACAAAACTCCATTGATTTCAAAAGTATTGGATCATATCCTGGGCTTTATTCCTACTACTAAATTGGAGTAACTTGCATACAACTCCACGCTCATGACTTCAGGATTGAGTTACCCTTTCCATCCTAATAGACTTGTTTTTTTACCTTGTATGTGCATATGCACTACTCTGCACATGTGCCATGCAGGATCAAGCTCAGAAAGTCTCATGGGGCTTCCTTAATTACTTTTTCTTCTATTTTAGAGAGAATTGTTCTAAATAGAAAAATTAGAACAAACTGCAAAAATCCAGCGTTGTTATGCTTAATGAGCTTATAGCTGGCACAGGCACAAAGATTTCAATAATTTATTCAATAATATGCAATATATAGTAATAACACTCATAGAATTCATTCCTGCATTGCAAACATTCTTCATAGATATTGATCCTACAAATAGTGCATGTGTGCAAAATCATTCACATCTGTGTTGTTAGAATTGGGGTTAATGATGCTAAGCACCACAGTTAGCATTGTAGTTCCTATTATTAGCAAAAATTACTACTATGCATGCTCAAACAGCTTTTTTAACATTGCAGCTCACATTTATTTATTTCATTATTTTATTTATATACAACTAGATCTTGTAAGTGTCCTCCTTTTCCATCCATATTAGGATTGTTGAAACCAGGGCTCAGACATGGACAAAGGAGAACAGTTGCTCTCCTGATACTTTCTCCCTTGCAAGCAACTGGTCAGAGATGTATAGAGTGGGCATAGCTAAATGCTATAATCTAACCCTTATTTATTTAATTTTTGTGAAAATAATCATAGAATATCAGGGTTGGAAGGGACCTCAGGAGGTCATCTAGTCCAACCCCCTGCTCAAAGCAGGACCAATCCCCAGACAGATTTTTTGCCCCAGATCCCTAAATGGATCCCTCAAGGATTGAACTCACAAGCCTGGGTTTAGCAGGCCAATGCTCAAACCACTGAGCTATCCCTGTGAAGAGGAGTGAAACTGAAATTACCATTCTTGTGTTCTGTTAAAAGTGTCTACAAATTGCTGTTACAGATGGAAAAAGGCTAATGTAGTGCCCATCTTTAAAAAAAAAGGGAAGAAGGAGGATCCAGGGAACTACAGGCCAGTCAGCCTCACCTCAGTCCCTGGAAAAATCATGGAGCAGGTCCTCAAGGAATCAATTCTGAAGCACTTACAGGAGAGGAAAGTGATCAGGAACAGTCAGCATGGATTCACCAAGGGCAAGTCATGCCTGACTAACCTAATTGCCTTCTATGAGGAAATAACTGAGTCTGTGGATGAGGGGAAAGCAGTGGATGTGTTATTCCTTGACTTTAGCAAAGCTTTTGATACGGTCTCCCACAGTATTCTTGCCGGCAAGTTAAAGAAGTATGGGCTGGATGAATGGACTATAAGGTGGATAGAAAGCTGGCTAGATCATGGGGCTCAACGGGTAGTGATCAATGGCTCCATGTCTAGTTGGCAGCCGGTATCAAGCGGAGTGCCCCAAGGGTCGGTCCTGGGGCCGGTTTTGTTCAATATCTTCATTAATGATCTGGAGGATGGCGTGGACTGCACTCTTAGCAAGTTTGCAGATGACACTAAACTGGGAGGAGTGGTAGATACGCTGGAGGGTAGAGATAGGATACAGAGGGACCTAGACAAATTAGAGGATTGGGCCAAAAGAAACCGAATGAGGTTCAACAAGGACAAGTGCAGAGTCCTGCACTTAGGATGGAAGAGTCCCATGCACTGCTACAGACTATGGCCCGAATGGCTAGGCAGCAGTTCTGCAGAAAAGGACCTAAGGGTTACAGTGGACGAGAAGCTGGATATGAGTCAACAGTGTGCCCTTGTTGCCAAGAAGGTTAACGGCATTTTGGGCTGTATAGGTAGGAGCATTGCCAGCAGATCGAGGGACGTGATCATTCCCCTCTATTCGACATTGGTGAGGCCTCATCTGGAGTACTGTGTCCAGTTTTGGGCCCCACACTACAAGAAGGATGTGGAAAAATTGGAAAGAGTCCAGCGGAGGGCAACAAAAACGTTTAGGGGGCTGGAGCACATGATTTATGAGGAGAGGCTGAGGGAACTGGGATTGTTTAGTCTGCGGAGGAGAAGAATGAGGGGGGATTTGATAGCTGCTTTCAACTACCTGAAAGAGGGTTCCAAAGAGGATGGATCTAGACTGTTCTCAGGGGTACCAGATGACAGAACAAGGAGTAATGGTCTCAATTTGCAGTGGGGGAGGTTTAGGTTGGATATTAGGAAAAACTTTTTCACTAGGAGGGTGATGAAGCACTGGAATGGTTTACCTAGGAAGGTGGTGGAATCTCCTTCCTTAGAGGTTTTTAAGGTCAGGCTTGACAAAGCCCTGGCTGGGATGATTTAGTTGGGAATTGGTCCTGCTTTGAGCAGGGGGTTGGACTAGATGACCTCCTGAGGTCCCTTCCAACCCTGATATTCTATGATTCTATGGAAGGATTTTACTCAGTCCTTCTAAAACAAATTCACTTTTAGGTTGAGATTAAGTATTGAGAATCTCAGCCCAAAATAGTAATTTATCACAAAGTTATGAACATGTGAAAATAGAATTTAAATTAAAATTTGATGCACATACAACTTGAATTATAGCAGTTATGACCAGCAAAACTAAAATTAACCAAATGATTTAAGTAGTGGAAAGTACTGTAGAGTAAAACTGATGATTATATAAAGATTAATTAATAATTAATTCTTAGCTTATATACTGTATTTTGCTTTATAGCTGCAAAGTGTTTTACAAACCTTAATTAATATGTATTGTTCAGTTTTAAGTAATAACTTACATACTGTGGTCCACTTTGGTTAAATATTAATAGTACTTTTAATAACATTTAATTAAAAATAATACTACAACTAAATATTGTAATATGCCACCCAACATTTTACTTTCCAAATCCAGATGTTTCCATGCATTATTCTTTCATATTTCTATTAGGGAACAAACATACTCTGTGATAGTTTTGTTCTTTGGATATGTGATGCATTTGCTCAATTAGATGTCCGAGTCTAAAGTTAACTTCATTAACTTTGTCCTTGGCTTGAGCGATAGCTTCATCAAGAAAATGCTCTCCAACTCTAATGTCCAAGTGGATACGCTATGAACACAATAACAACAATTATTAGTCCCATGAATTTATGGTGTGGGTATTTAAAAAAAAAAAAAGTCGTCAGAAACAAAGCGAGGCATAAATAACAAAGGTTTCTTTTTAGCCTTCTTATAGGAATGGTATTTAACTTATTTATATATGTCCTTACTAAAGAGATAAGATATTTAAAATGTATATATTTCAAGGTTTTAATCTTTAATTACACAAATTTACATACTTTGTTATTAGTGTTGTATTTTATACTAATGCTATTGATTCAACCAGTGTGAACTATTTATTATACTGTGTCCAACAAAGGGCAAAAAATGAACATTCTTAGGGCTACCCACTCTAATTAAAAATTGATACCATTATCAATCCTTTTTTTTAATACTCTTCCCACTTAGGCTGTAGCTGAAGCAAAGTCAGAAACAGAAATAATGAGAATCAGTCCTAGGTCTTCCACCTGGCATACTATAGCACTTCCAGTAGGTTATTAAATATGCTTCTAAAGGCAATTTTCTCCAATTACTTCCAAAGTTTAGCTTGGTTTATAATGATATAAAGAACAATAAATACATAATTCATGTGTGGCTCTCTCCCATAGATTTTAACTCTTTAAAGTTTATAGAGGTATTGCTCAAAGACACTGGAGCGACATAAATGTAATAGCTTTCAGATAAGTAAGCTTTTGTACCTGCATTTGTGTTGATAAATCTTTCCCCTTATAACATTTCATCATATTAATCAGGACTTTGAAGCTTTACATAATCAAGGTGCTGTACAAATATTAATTAATCTACACTGTATTAGACTGACTGTGCCCTGACTCCTTGGACATGAAAGGAAAGTCTGTTTCATCTCTTCATCTTCTGAGCTCCAGCACTATCTTTTTCAGTCATTAGGAAATGTCATATATTGGCTAAAGAGTCATTTGCCAATCTCTGAGATAATTCATCAAAGCAAGATTCTTCTGGTTTCAAACACTGACCACAACCAAAATAATACAGAATGTTCTGCATGGGTGGAGCTCCATTGAATTCAGGAGGTCCAAAGGTCCACCTACGTGGAATTGCTTTGCAAGATCAAAGAGCAACATTGGACACATGGATCCACTGAGATACTTTCATAATCCTTTCACTCTTGTCATTAATTATGCTCCTAGAACTCTATACTGTATGTCCATTTGTCTTCCAGAGCCTGTGGTTTAGATACGACAGATATCATCATTAAAAAGAATATTCAAGAAATACTCTTACCAGTTTACTTCCTCCAAATGAGATAAGCTTTGTGGAGTTAGACTGCAAACAGATATTATGCTCCCCAGGTAAGTGTGACGTAAAAGAGAATGTTCCTTGTGGACCATACAATTTTGACAACAGTAGCTGTAATGTGTTAAGTGTATTTTTTTAATTTATGAACCACAGATATTAACATAAAAATAAAATGCTATGTATCATACCTCAGAATATTTTAACATTTAAAACTTAATATTAATTATATTATATTATTAATATAAATACAATTAACCTAACTTTCACATTTTATTTAGGGAATAAAAACTAGAAAAAAATGTGGTCTACACTGAGAACTAAAAACTTATCTATAGACACTAAACTAAAGTCAAAATTTTCAAAAATGGGTGTTTTAAGTGTAGCTCCTAAGTCCTTACTTTGGCACATAAATAAGTAGCCTGATTTTCAGAAGTGTTGAACACCCAATGGCAATGAAGGCAGTTGTTGTGAATTGCTGGTATATGCATCCTGACGGTTAATCTAATATTTTTGGTTTAATTTATCATCTCCTTCCTTTCTCCATACACAGCTACTGGCTTTACTATGTTGCTTCAGTAGTCAATACAAAACCACGTTGTCTGTATGTAAAATATTGTTTTTTCAACTATATTTTAAGTATTCTTTGATGGCAAGCTTTTCCAAATCTAGCTTTAACGCAAAAAGCATTACCAGATTAAATAAATAAAAGACGACTAAAATCAAGGTGCTAAACCCATATAGATACATGAATAAATGGCCTGGATTTCAAAAGCACTGAGTACCCTTTTTCTCTTATTGACCTTAATGAAACCAACATGTGCTCTGCACTTTTGAGAATCAGACCACTTATTTAGCTGCTTAAATATGGATTAAGGAACCGAATTTTAGGCACCTATTTTTAAAAATATTGTCCATTCCCCTTAGATAGTATGACCTTCCAGTTCCAAGAGTCAGTACAAATGCCTCCAAAAACGTGAATAATAAGTTTTACCTCCTTAGTAGGAGTTGTAATGGTCACAAACATTCCCAAACCAGGAGCAGATTCAAGAAACCTGTGTTCATGTATGTCCCATTGCTGTACCTTGTAACTCCCTGAGAAACAGATACAAATCTGTTAATTACAAGTTAGTATATTAAATATCTTTCACTTTTTCATTTCACATCAAGTCACTATAAAAACAAAATTAAGTACAAGATAATTTACATAATTAATAGAATTATGATTTTTTCCAGTTCACCATATAATTAGATTGTGGCATTTTGCACCACAATGGAGTGAGCAAGAAGTTACAAACCAGTGAAAGAAAAGTGACAATTTATTATCATTGCCGTGCATGCTCTGACCTGGTTAGCAAGCCATGGCACATGGCAGATAGTCCCAAAAGTTCAGGTATCCATTACTCAAATTACGTTTGTATGATTGTCTTTCATGCAGCCCCTAGCACTTGTGAACAAGAAAGCGATCAGCTCTTTGATGGTTCCCTGGCAGTCTTGCATATTTCTCCTTCTCAAATAAGGGCTTTTTGCTTTCTCATTATCTGGGAATATTTTAATGAACGCAGTATAAAACACTTAGTGGAATGGTCCTTTTTTTTAGCAGGTCTTGAATGAGGTCCTGACCACTGGTAAACAGAAAATGCAGATCTCACATTGGTGGGGGAGAGTGGCAAAACCGTGCAATAATAGGAGCCCTGGGAGTAATGGTTGACTAAACCAGAATTCCTCTGAGGAAGCACATACTGCAATGGCATCTCCAGCACTGTAGAAATAGGTGCCTTTTGTGCTTTCCATCTTAGTTCAGCCAGCTCTTCTGGTCTGTGCAGAGGACTCCTTTAGCAACCTGCATGGAACTTGGAGGGATGAGCACAGGAGATAGAAGGGAAGAGTTTGGAGAAGGCATCAGGAAGCCATTCTGTGTGCACATAGCTTGAATGCTAGCTGCTGTCACAGCAATTCTGTAACTAATTCTCTTAATAAAGAGCCAGTTTAGATTCAGAAACATGGAGTCCTCTCATGTTATTACTCAGCATGCAGTACACAACACAACTGTAACACTCATGGCTAGCATGGCTATAGTGCATTTCCATATCGTGACTGGCACTCGTTTTGGGAGTAAAGAAGGACATGCTCTTTGTGCCCTGCTCACCACACCACCACTCATTCACCTAAGCAGGGCCAGCCACAGGGCTTTGGCATTCAAGAAAGCCATATATCAGGCTATCAGCATTAGAACTTCATAGATTAACATTTTAAATATTAAACACATTGACCATCATGTAGCAACATCTACCTACCAGTAATCAAGATATCACTTGGAATGTCTTCTATTATGCATTTCTCCTCTCTTTCCCCTGAATGAAAATACAAAGCAGTTGAGACAGCAACCCAGAAGCTCAAAAGAATTCCTATTAAGTGGCTCTTCATGATTTTGGTGTATCCTTTTGGAAATGATTAGTTAGAAATGAGTACAGCTCTGTGCTCACTCCTTGTTTGCTGTTTATCAGTGTGGTTTTGGGAAAAAATGTGAGAAAAGACATCTGGTAGTTACTTCAGTTATTTATATACGTGTATGCGCTACCGAATGAGATAAGAAAAAGATAATTTGTGAAGTCTTTCCTACCATGAAAGGAGCAAAATTTTATTCATAGCTCAGATATATGAAGTTTTATAGGACTAATTTATAATTCTTTGTGTGTGTGTGTGTGTGCACACGCACGCACTCTCTCTCTCTCACACACACACGGACTACATTAGGACTGAAAGTGCCACAATGGGAAAATGCAATACTTCATGTTTTACTGAGTTGTATGCTTTTAGTGTGTTTGTCAGCTTTGACAGTTACTGCTGGGTTTTGGTCCAACAGGTCAGCTGAGTATTCTCTGTGTGTGTATTTAAAAATAAAATCCAGCACAGCTGCTTTCATAGTCAATAAGATGGCCAGGATCACTAAGTAGTGGAATGTTCCTATCAATGGATGTTGTCATTATGAGAAATCAAAATTGTTTGGGGAGGGGTGTAAATAAATTAAATTTCTCTCTTGCTCCTAAGTTCAACAAACAAGAGAAAAATAAAGATTAAAATAAACTCTTCTCTGCTTCCAATTCCAGCATCACTGCACTGTCTGGGATAATTTCTGTCTATTGAGTTGCCTGGCAACATCTCAAAGTTTTGCTGTGTTATTATTTCTGTTCATCTGTCAAAAGGGATCTCTGTTGTGTATGTGCTAGTGACCAAAAATGCCTTTTTCAAGGAAAGGTCTCCTTCTATGGCACAGGATCATTTAAGAAAAACAGTATTTTCCATGGAAAGGATGTATTTTGCAGTGTAATGCACCCTCCTCCTTGTGTTTCCTCCCAGTATCCCACTTCCCCACTTACCTCCATGCTTAGGTCACCATCCCCGGGCGAACCTAGTTTAAAGCCCTCCTCACTAGGTTAGCAAGTCTGCCTGCGAAGATGCTCTTCCCTCTCTTCATTAGGTGGATTCCATCTCTTCCTAGCAATACTTCTTCCTGGAACAACATCCCATGGTCGAAGAATCCAAAGCCCTCTCTCTGACACAACCTGTGTAACCACACATTTACCTTGACAATTCAACGGTCCCTACCTGGGCCTTTTCCTTCAACAGGGAGGATGGACATGAACATGACTTGTGCCTCAAAATCCTTTATCCTTCTTCCCAGAGCCACATAGTCTGCAGTGACCCGCTCAAGGACATTCTTTGTAGTATCATTGGTGCCCACATGGAGGAGTAGGAAGTGGGAGTGGTCCTCGCAGACACTCCATCACATCCTGAATTCTAGCTCCAGGCAAGCAGCACACTTCTCGAGTTTCCCAGTCTGGACGGCAGATGGATGACTCTATCCCCCTTAGGAGGGAGTCCTCGACCACCACCACCTGTCTCCTCCTCTTGGGAGTGGTGGTCGTAGAACCACCATCCCTAGGACAATGCATCCCATGCCTTCCAGTCAATGTGGTCTCCCTCTGATCCCTTCCCTCAAATGACTCTTCCAAATCATTCTCCGCCATAATACCTGTGCAGAGAACCCGAAAAAAGTTTCTTACCTCTATCTGCATTGGGGATACATGGGTTCTCCTCTTTCTCCTTCTGGAGATCACATGCTGTCCATTTTCTTCCCCGTTCTGCACTGCCCTCTCAGATTCTGTGCCTGCAATACCAAATGCTGCACTGCCCTCTCAGATTCTGTGCCTGCAATACCAAATGCTGACTTCTATCCAGAAAATCTTCATTTTCTCTGATGCAATGCAGGGTTGATACTTGGGTCTCTCGTCCTTTAACCTTCTCTTCTAATATGGAGACCAGCTTGCACTTCGTACAGGTGAAGTTGCTTCTATCCTCTGGGAGAAAGACAAACATGGCACATCCTGTGCAGGTCACAACCACTGATCGCTCACTATCCATAATGTCTTTCTTCTAAGAGCCTCTTCAGATGTTGTATTTACTGCTCACAGAAGCCTGAAAGGCAAAAACATCCCAAGCGAACTCCCAGGCGAACTCCGTTTGCCTGTCCTCTGTTCACCGCTCACTCTGTTTGCAACTGGCTGCTTTTTTATCAGGCTGCTGGCTCATAGCACTTGGCCCAGCTCAAAGCCTTCCCTCCAATCAACCACTCAAGGACCACCTGGAACAAAGCACTCCCAATTCACACTTTTCAAACAAACAACCACACGATCAAACAGTCACACTTTTCAAACAAACACATGGTCAAACAGTCCCTGCAACTAGCTCCAGTCAAACAAATGGTCACAGCAGACAGACACTCGGCTATTCACCCCACCATCTCACAACACAGCCCTCCTAATGCAGCACTCACCATAGTACAAGAGCCCCTTCCAGTAGTTGGTTCACTCATGTTCTCCCCAAGCGGACAATTGTGCACTGGACACATACATTTTGGTACATTTATGATAGAGAAGATAAGGAAAAAACATGCCTTGTATTTAGAGTGGAAGGTGGTGAGGCTTGTGATGGCCCTCAGTTCCTATTGGCGTTCCTTCCCTAGTCTTTGCCCAGATCCAAGAAAGCTCTGTCTCCTGCACAGACAAGCTTTATCTTTATTGCAGAAAGTTCCATTGTGCCAGAGGAGTGAAACTGTCGATCACATCCTCATCCCGGAGCTTTAGTCAGTCTTTTAGTTACTGTTGGCCCAGACCACTGAGCCCCTTGCAGATGAAGACTGAGACCTTGCACTTGATATGATATTCCATGAGAGGACAATGTAGGGAGTGGAGGACGAGACTGATGTGTTCGCAGTAGCCAGTGTTGCTGAGCAGACATGGTGCAATGTTGTGTAACTAAGCACTAAAGGCTTCATTCCCAAGTATATTGCATTGCTGAGGTCCAGCCAAGAGGTGACAAACATGTGAGTAACTGTGATTAGGTCATCGTTTGCCAGGATGGGACAGAATCTCCCAGCAACCAGAGATGGTACAAAGTGTCACTCGTGGATGCTGCTGTGTGAGCTCTTAATATCAGTGAGGAATCCAGGAACATTTCTAAGCTACAGACTAAATTGGCCTATAGCGAGGGAGTACCATCAACCAAAGGAGACACTCCACTGTGGTTGCAAACCTTTAAAAATGCTTTCCTCTGCCTATTACCATAACCTCTGTCTTGCTTGGGTTCAGCTTCAACCTGTTGGGTTTTTTCCATGAGCTGATGTTGTTCAAATTGTGGGCCATCTTGGTGGTAGTGGTATCATATATTGTGAAAGACAAGCAGTGTATCATCTGCATATTGCTGGCACTTGGCATCTTACCAGTTCACTCTGTGCCTGTATGAAGCTGTTGAATAGAACAAAGACAGAGTTGATCCTTTTGAGACTCCACAAGTGAGGGGTCTAATAGTAGAGGTGCAGTTTCTTATCAAAGCTGCAGAGAAGTTCAGGAGGATGAGAGTTTGTCCTCTGCACTGGCTGCAGGAGATCATCCATCAGTTCCACTAAAGCCTGGCCTAGATCTAGATTGTGCCATAAGGTGAGGTGAGGAAAGAACAACTACCAGGTAGACTGTAAACCCAGAGTAGTTTTCTGAGGCATATGGAGTTTCCTTCCTTCACTGTGCCAGCCCTTAATTTCCAGGAAAGGACACCTATCCATAGAATTTTTTGCAGCCTCTGTCACAATCTGCAGATGAGACACGTGGATATCTTTGTGATGCCCCAGTATCACAGTGTCCTCTACAGTTTCCACAAAGTGATCCACAAGATTCTGGGAGATTCAAGTGCTTTCACAGTTGACTTGCCAGGATACGTTTGTTTCACAATAGCTGCTTCAATCGTTAATAGACAAATACAGGCATTTACCTCAGGATTCCCACCTCCTGTCTCAAGGGACTATCCTTCATCCTGATTTGGGGACACAGACAGCAAGTATGTGAAAAGCAAAACCTTCAACACAGCAGATTTACCATACAAATAAGTGACCATATCCTGCATGCTAGGAAACCTGGTTATAAATGCACCCTCATGGCCAAGATTGAGTCTGCTCAACAGGCAACTCCAGCCAACAAAAGGCATGTGCAGGAACGCATCAGGGAAACTCTCCCCCAGCCCAGGAGCACCTGTTCCACACCCCCTGGTGTAAACACACACACCAGCATAGTACAATGAATATAGGAAAAGCAAATATTATTTACAGAAGGATGATTGGAGCAAAACAATGTGAGGGAAGATAGGGGGAGCGGTAAAACAGTGTTATATCCAAACACAAGGCTCCACAGGTCCAGTGGTACCACAATACAAAAGGACAGACACCAAGCAATGTGTCTACACTCAGAGTCCAGTAACCCGGGGCAGAGTTCCAGTATGGCAGTGAGTATTGGGTGCTCCTGCTGGTCTTCGGCGCCAGTAACCTTTCAACAATAAACTCCTCCAGTCCCTTTTCTGCCGCTCTCTGCAAAGCCACACAGAGCGACAGCCTCCCTCCTTATGTCCAATGCAAGGTCACATGCCCCAGTACTCATGGTCCCATCCAGTTCTGGGCAATTGTGATACTGAGTCCAGCTCCGGTTTGTCCTTCTCAAGTGATTCTTCCTCAGCATGGTGCTCCTCCTGGCTCCTGTCCTGGGGCATCCCTGGTTGGTGACTCTGTCCCGCCCAGGCTTCGGGCTGGTTCTTGGCTGCTTCACTATGTGAGGGCCTGCTTGATATAGTCCTTCTCTCTGAAGCTACAGACAGACCTACTCTGTCACTTTACCTCTCTCCACACCCCTGGAACAACCAGCACTTCCTCTTGCTGCAACAATCAGCACTCCCTCTGCCTCAGGACAAGGTTTTAAAGGGGCCATCCTCTCTAAACCCCAAGGGGGTTACATAAATGTCATAATGGAAGCAGTGGTTGAGTGCTTTTGAAAAACCAGCCCCAATTTGCGGATGCTGAGTACTTGAAAAATCTGCCCTTTATTATATATTTCATGTTGTTATAAGTTACAGCTGTTGTCATGAGATCCCGTGGAAAATATTACAAGTTCCTTCTTATCCTCTCACTCCTAGTGTTTGTAACCATCACATATTATGTTTTAACTTAGGGTTCTATCATCAGTCCAGGAACATGGACTAGTAATAGGATTTGGAGCCTTTGGCCGTTTATCAGTCAACAGTTCAAATTCTGTCCAGGCCACTAATAGGAATGATGCTGGAGGCTGAATTCATCCCTTACAGTGACATGGCTGTCTCACAGAGCAAGATGGCCCACTGAAATGGGGCAAAGAGCAATGAGAATGGATTGGGGAAGGGGCAAGGGAACAGAATAAAAGCAGAGAGCATACTTCACATGTATATTTTAATACATTTTAAAGTTGTTCTGATACCCTGCTGATGGATGTAATTGTTTATCTAGGTATTTATACAGTTAAATAAAATAAAAACCAAAAACAGAAAATAAGGAAGACTTCTGTATAGAAAATAAAGAAAGAATGGAAAAGGACATAAAAGTAATACAGAATGTGGAGAGACCTGAGAAAAGTTCCTTTCTCTCCAAAATCAGGATATTTGAGAGCTAATGAACCTGTAAGAATGTGGACACAGGAGGAACATGGAGAAAAAGAAGATGTTATAAACAAGAATAAGTGAAACAAGGGGGATGGAGGACAGGAGAGTGATAATCAGAAGAATGCAAGGCATCCAGAAATGACAAAAGTTAGTTTGTTTTTTTTAAATACTTAGCTGTATTCAACTGGAGCTGAGTGTTTGTTTTAATTGTTTATTCAGTGTTTGGAGGACCAGTATGTACTATGCTGATAAAAGTTCTAATTTCTTCAGGACTCGTCAGGATCCTCATCTGAGTCCTATAAAAAAAAAGTGTCAGAACTTTTAAGTGTTCCTGTACCTAAAGAGAATGCAGTGTGCTGTGTCCCTTTTAGTATACAAAAATGGTTTTCATAGATGGCATGTTTCAGAATGAACCTGCCCGGCCCCATCCAAGATCTTTCTTGTTCATATCTGTGCCTTTCTTATTTTTGTATATTTTCTAGGACAGTGCACTGTAGACCTATAAACACCCAACTAGCTTAAAAGTTTTCTGTTGAACTCTTATATTTCAAAAATCCTTTTCCTATGTTATAACTAAAAACTCTGCATAACCCACGTGCTATCATTTTTTCAACCAATTAGCTATTTGAGTAACAAAATTCACAGTCTGGAACCATTTTTGATATATTATGCTTTGTGAAATCCATACATAATTCTGTTTTGAGTCATTTAAAAACAAATCTATAATTTCTCATTTATGCCTTTGTGATTTTTACATAAACAAATAATTCACATCCACATATGCTTTTAGAGAAACATGGACACATTTATTTCATACATGTAGAAAATGGTATAACTTATAGTCAGCTGAACAGACTTTACAATTGTTCACCAGTTATTTCCCAGTCAGTTTATTTGTGTAGGGATCCACACCAAAGATCAGTCAGTTTTTAAATCTGAAAAGAGATTCAACTCAACTGAGTTCAGTGGCTCTCCATTAGTATCCAGACTTTTGAGTGCTTATATGAAGCTTCTGAGCTGAGTAGTTTTGTAGTTGGCATTTTTCCAATGTCTGAGGAAAAACCAACCTCCTGCTCTGCATGCATAGGATTCAAGACAAGTTTACGCAGTTATTTTATTGTCCTAACTAGGTTACAATATCTGGTCACTCTGGTTTATGTAAGTGTTTTCCAAAGAAGTGTACTCAATTAAACATGATTAAAAGAAGTCAACATTAATGCCAATAAATTATAATAAAACATAATTTACAGCAACATAATAATTAGCTTTATAGGTATAAATAAACAAATTTAAATCTACAAATTCTAATATTTAAGAATGTATGTGATAATCTAGATTGTATTCAAAAGATTTGTTAACATAAATGAACTGTGCAGTATGTCCAAAATTTTCTTTTCTGCCACTAGATGGTACTGCAAGAACTTACACAATATTTGTAGAAAGGAATGAGTTCCGTGGATTTTGTTTTGTTTTCCCTGTAAATGATCAAAAACTGTTGGACTAAAATTAAGTCATTAAAAAAAGTCTTGATATCAAACAATAGAATCAGCATCCAGTCTAATTAAACATGACAACATACCTGAATTATAAGGAATAGTGACTGACATGGAGTATAGATTCAACTAAATCTAACCTTAATTTAAATGATCTAAATTATCGTCTATTCTTTATTCCATTGGAAAGGAGATTTCAGACACAATTGTCTGGTTCACATTCTGTTTCTTCATCCAGGTTTGGACAAGGAGTTCCATTATTGGCAGGTTGAAGGCGTACATAACGAGTTCTGGTTTTGGTCCCTATCTTTCCACAAGTACCTCTGCAAAGACCCCAGGAAGACCACAGTGAAATCTCACAGTCCAATGGTGTCTCTGTAACATATATAAGAAGAGGTGATTTGACAGAAATATGTGCTTAAGGCAAACACATAGTTGGTAAAATGTACAAAACTATTATCAAATTGTCCTTACTTATATAAATATAAGGCTGATGTTTGTTTTGATACATGAAGAATTTACTATCAGTTACATTACTGATAATATTAAAAAGATCTACTTGAAAAAACAGAATTAACATGATTTTAATTTTACATTCCTTTAATAAAAGCCATATGTTGTCTAGTAAATAAAGACATCTGTTTTCAGCTCCTGAAAAGGTAGACTTTTTTACTGTAATGTAGAGGTTGTTTGAGGTACTGCATTAGTTATGGTATAATATTTATTTGAGAATTTAAAATGTTATTTTCATGGAAAACTTTAAAATGAGCATGCTCTGAAAATAGAATTGTATTTTACTGTCATCTCACTACTAATAACTCATTTGCCCTTGCATGGCTTGCTGGATAATACCAGGATTAAGATTTTTATCAAGTTTATTTATATAGTCTGGGACGTCTTTGTATATATTGTTCCTATTCATTTCATTTTCTGTTTAAGTCCTATTCTATTCTTCCTCATGAGTAAAGAAAATGTTAATTCTTTTTAAGGCTAAATCTTCTTGTAGTTAGTTTTTGGCAAGAAAAGGTAAAGCACCTTTTATACACACAGTCTTCCCTTTGCCAATAAAATAAATTGTATAACTAAAAGCTTTTTAATACTAATATCCTTTACATTTACTACAACCAAATAAATCAGAAATTCTGTAAAGTAATATATACATATATACAGAATATATATATGAATGATATGTAAGTTATAAAATTCTCAAAGAAAATAGACAGATACTCTCTCCCTCTGCAGTTGGGAGGAAATATGTCTGTAGTCGCAGATCTCTATGGACCTTGAGTGAATGGGGAACATGGTTTGACCTTTGGTAATTAAATCTTTCCTTATGCCTGTGGAGTAAGTTTTTTATATGGATTAAGTTACTGGTATATACACAAAGTGGAGACTTCTGACTAGGAATGTCCAACAAATACTTTACTTACAATGAATTGCTCTGATTCAGTATGTGTTGCTCTTATTTTATAATATCTCCTGAATTACTAACATTTTTAATGGAGTAGAAAAATGGACTTGTATAGAAAGCTTAAAAGAACTAAATGTGTAGTTTGTCTAAACAATGACTATTATCTCGTCAAACGTATTACAAATATATTACATAACCTGTTATAGTTTGCTACTATTTACAGCAGTGGTTCTCAAACTTTTGTATTGGTGACCTCTTTCACACAGCAAGCCTCTGAGTGCGACCCCCCCTTGTAAATTAAAAACACTTAAAAAATATATTTAGCACTATTATAAATGCTGGAGACGAAGCGGGGTTTGGGGTGGAGGCTGACAGCTCGCAACCCCCCATGTAATAACCTCGTGACCCCCTGAGGGGTCCCGACCCCCAGTTTGAGAACCACTGATTTACAGTATCTGCTATGGGGATGCCCAGTATTGGAACACTTGAGGGTGGGGGTTGGGGGGGGGGGTTAAACTACACTGAGGCACATTAATTAACGTTGTGGGGAAGTTAATACAACATGTTGCTCTAGCTAGAACGTCCAGTTACTCACATTTATGGGGAATTAAATAAAAATTAAATATTAATTAAATAAATAGTCTCTAAAAATACCATACTGGTGACTTCCAACTCTTGGATCTTAAGCTTTCAGGACAAGACAAACCCATCTGTCTTAGGCTAGGGAGCTGAGACCCAAGAATGAGAATCCTGCATGATATCTTCAAAGTAGCATACTAAGGACCCAGTTCAGGAAGCACTGACGCACGTTTTAAAGACCATCCCTAATAAGGAAAGCACTTAAGTACATACTTGAGCTCCTTTCCTGAACTGGGGCTAGAGTAAATAGTAATCCCTTCTCAAATGTTGTGGAGGAAAGGATATTATGCTATATGTGATTTGTGTCACCCAAGTTGAATGATGGATGATCAGCTCTTGTTTACTAAGAAAACATTTTTTAAACTAGAAATCTGCTTGTTTTAAATGTACAAGTCAGGCCTTATTAACCATGGGGAAGGTAAGTTTTCTTTATTTATTAATTGTGAGGAAATTTGTGAAGCCCACCTTATGGTCCAAACTCCTGGCACAGAGCCAATGCCAGAGAAATAGACTCTCCAGTCCCAATCTGAAGCAGCTGGCATGCACTTGGGCAGTGGTTGCTACTACAGAATATGCAGGGAATGTGTCCAATGGATCTCTCCTGTGGAGGATTTTGGTCTCTGCACAACTTTCTTAAGAAGTGCTCCTCATTCCCCTTTTCTACGATCCTGTACAGAAAGTCACCAGAGGGTGCATAGAGTAAGCCTGCACGGGGCTCTCTACCATCGGTCCTCTTTCCTCCAGTCAGAGGGGATGTAGCATTTATGCTGAGTTTGAAGCTTAGAATTTGTCACTAAGACTGGGTCAAATCAGTGCTATGAACCTTCACTTACATGAGCACTAGCATTCACAGACAGTTTAAAAAAAAGAATGCTGTGGTGGGATAAATATATTATTGTTTGAAATTAAATCTTGGCTTCACTTGAGCATTTCAATAAAAATTTCAAACTCTCCTCGGGTACCTTGTTCTGTAGGTATCAGTTGCCATCATAATTCTATTCAAGCTGGTGAACTGAATTTTGTTTTCTTATTTCATATCACTATCAAAATACTTCTTACCAAGGAGAATATAGTAAATATAATCGCTTTGCTCCATTATGTAAGAACTCACAGGAAGGAAGCACTTTCTTTAGTATTTGCACAGGATTTGGGGAGCTGAGAGTCTGACAGAGTATCCCTTTCACACAGGACTGGTGGCTCTGTGGAAGTTCTATGGCTTGAATAAGACATGTGGATCTAACCCAAATCTGCGGATCCCTGGCCAGACATGAAGGCTTCCCCCCTCCGTCCCCCCATGTTTCTTTTGGTATCCTCTTCCTATGACATTTGGACTAGTTTATTTCCTTTACTGTTGTTGTGGTCTCCGGTCTCTGTCACAGAGGGCCCAATTCTAATCTCACCTACGCTATGTTTACACTTGTGTAACTCCATTGGCTTTGGTAGAATGACTCCGAATTTATGCAGGTGTAAGTGATATTAGAATTAGATCCAGAGGAATAGTTAATGCTGTTTCACGTAGAAAAGGGTACAGAGAAATATAACATTCAGCTGCTTTTTGACTGGGCATGCCCCCGTTTTCTCTGCAGCATTTTTGTAAAGGGAAAAGTTGCTGCAGCCTGTAGCAGGAATATTCTACATAACCCTATTCTCTTCCACAAGGCCTGCCAGATTTGAAGTTTTCTAAAATTTTGCTTCTCTCCTTTGCTGCTCAGTGAATGGGAACAAAAGGATCTAGTTGATCAAAGTACTAACCGCTTACCTGAGACAGAGTCATCTATTTCATTGCCTACAGCAGTCAGGTTAGGCTGAGGACCAGGAAGACCCAGCTGGTTTCTTTTAAGTTTTACAATGGTTACTCGAGCAATAGGTGGCAAACTTTTTAGCTTGGGATAATAAAATGAGTTTGCTGGGTGACTTGGAGAGGAACAAGTGATCTGTGAATTAAAAATAAAAGGAAGTTTATAGAAATAATATTGCCATGTTAGTAAGGATAGAAATTTTAAACAGAATATCACGTCTTAATTATGTTTCTGGGCAAGTAAAACTCATATGAATTGGGGGTGCACAGTCTTTATGCACCCGAGACTCACAAAAAAGCTGTGATTTCTTGTCATGAAGATAATCCCACTAACTTTTGTGGAAGGATTCTGGGACTGAGATCACACAAGAAATTGTGACTATTTTTGGATGGAGTTACTGGATGGAGGGTAGTCAGCGTGCACAATAATGCTTGGAGCAGATTGATGGAGGAGACAAGAAGTTGTAGGTAGGGAATGCTGGCAGTGGCAAGGATACGGACTGGGGAATAATGGGTGCTGTAGTAGATGTGGTATTGTTATAAGGGGTCACAGAGGGTGGTGCTTCAGCTTCTCTATTCTTTCCCACTTCCGCAAGCACTATATGTATACAACATATACACACTTACCTCTGTAACAGTATCCTGTGGAATAGTGGCAAAGTTTGGTGAGGAAAATGTGAAACCACTGTCTGTTCCAGCATCATATGGAAAAAGTTCTACTGTTTCTTGTTCTTTCCAATGATCTCCTTCACATAGATTTAGACTGTCAACACCCACAAACCAATCAGGGCTGGGCACAATTCGTACAACAAAAGAAACCTAGGAAGTGAAAGAAAAACATCATAATAATTAACAATCACCTGCCAGCCTCTACAGGCTTGGGTAGCAGGAACTTCAGGGTCTGATTTCTAGTATGACAATGGGTCAAACATATTTCTGACTATTTTATTTCAGGGTTCTAAAAGAACATATGCTTTTTTTATTTGATTTTATGTTCATAAAGTTCTTTAAAAGCTATCAGTGGCATTTCAAATATCTCCTTTTGCATCCTGCTGGCATAAAACTAGTAAGCGACCCTTAAAATGAAAATGTAAATGTACGTACTAAGGAGTGTCTTGAATGTGCTTCTAATTCCGTGAAGGTTTGTCCTGTACCACTGGAAATGGCAGGAGCTGAGAAGATTCCATGCACACTTTGAATTTTTTCTCCAGCTGCTTCTATTTCCTTCATTAATGTCCATGCTTCACCCTTTTCAGCAAAATCACGCACACCATTGCTGGCATATTCATCTTTTTTCCACATGTTATAGTCAGAACTATGGGTAACACCTATTTAAGGGAACACATTGCTCAATATAAAAGTCTGTTTTGGATTATCGTAATTGCTGCAGTTTCTCTGTTTTATTTCTGATGTGGAACCATTTGGGTATTTACCTTTAGGATTTTCTAAAACATTTAGCTTATCACTATTTATTTCAGCTGTAGCCGATTGAAAATTGAAGTCAATTGAAAACCGTTGTAGATTCTGTAAGTATTTTGGATGCTGCAAGTTCTGTATGTTATTGTTTATCTGTCAAGCTACATCAGTTTTGACTTTCATTTTACTAAAGGGAATTCTCAATAAATTCAAATAAAGAACAAAAAGAAGTAATCACAACTGTAGAAAGTTTTATCTGGTCTTGACACTGTGCACACTTCACTTACCTAGCAAGGAAGACCACTGTGCTGGAGGCCTATAAAGGGGATACTGCTTAGGGAAAGCAGCCTGACTCCATTTCCCTACAAAGACTATGCTGTACTTAGCAACTTCCTCTGCTGTGCAAACAGAATCATCACCCACAGGCAGACAGCTGGTATAGCCTAAAATTGTTATAAGCAGTGTCCAGATAACTTTACAGGAACTGTAGCCAAGCATCAGGTTTTCCATTTCCCTACACATGGAAAGAAAAAAAAAAGTGTCCATGTTAGCCTTATTAGTCACTGTAGATTCAAAACTGAATAACTGTAACCCAATGAAATTTAATATAGCATAAGTTTTGAACTAGAAGAAAATACACATCCAATGCATTTAAAAACTTAATGCATCTAAGAACATATAGGACTTACAGAGTTGAAGTTTCCATGCAGTATGTTACAAAGCTGTAACTCTATCTAGGACAACTGTTTCTAATGGAAAATAAAAAATATCTTAAACTTGTTCATGGTAATGAGTTTGAGGAAACATGTTTTTGATTTTCTTTTAAAATCTTATTAGAATCTTGAATTAATTAGACTAGTAAATGTTTCTGTAAAAACATTAATGATACATTTATTATTTTAAAGATAAAATTAAATTTAAAAAGCATGGAGAAGTAACATAAAAGTTGAAGCAGAATTTTTAGAACAGATTTAAAGTCAAATACATTACAAATATAATTCATTACTTTGCGATCATATTTGCTATGAAAAAACATTTAAAATTTAACATAATTGCAAACATCCTTGCATCAGACTGAAACTCGGTTATTTAAAATCCCGCTTTTTAAATGCTTTTGTCCTTAGAGAAAACTGCATCAACATAATTGAAACACTAATAGTTGTATAATACAGTAATTCATTAAAAGAGTTTTGAGTACTCACTAAATATTTCCTCTGGAGCTCAGATACGGCGAGAGCACCTGCTTTTGCTGGCAGCTGAGCTGTTCTGCAAGAGAGGACAGTAGGAGTCTTGCTATTTATGCCTGAAGAGGGTCCCTTTGGTCCAACAGTTATCGTAACCTTTAGACTTTCCAGTTTAACAAAATGAATTCCATACTGTTGCTTGTTTTTTTTTATGCAATACCAGAATCTCCTGTACGCCAGTTACTTCAGGTTTCTATTGGAAAATTGTGATGCTGACTAGACACAGAATGTTTTTTAAAATTATCTTAGATTATTACCAACACCTCAGGTTTTCTAGTGACTGTATAGTTCTCTGTACATCTTATTAAAGTTTTCTAAGCTATAAAAATGAACTGAGTCCAAAACTAAAATTGTTCTGGTGGAAATGCTTTAAATGAGAAGCATATTTCCTTGTACGTTTTATTGTCTGACAGATGCTCCTTCCAAACATTTACAGAGAGTGCTCTCACTCTCACATACCATATGTACATGTTCAAATAAGAAGGTGAAAACAGCTAAACAAATCTAGGGAAAGAGACTTACATCATTTTATATAGTCAAACATATCTACCCTGCAAATACGGATTAATTTAAAATAGAACAGTATATATCTTTGTTGTCAACAATACTGTACACTGTATGATGAAAAGGCTCTGTAATATTGTGGTTTATATGGAAGGCGTGGTTTTTGGAAGCTTCTTTGAGATTTTTCTTAGCTGTCTCCTCTTTAAAGTAAAAAATCCTAGATAACCATCTTAGTAGTAGTTAAATCATATATATTATTTAATGAAGTACTTACACTCACATCACTAAACGTATTTGTTTTCTATGCAAAAAGCTATAAATACCAGGTACAGTTAAGTTAAACAGTTAATACTCATTTTTAATTCTTTCCCCACTGCCTTTCCAAATGGGAAAAAAGGGCTTGTTAGAATGCCTGGAAGTGTGACTGATCAAGAGTCAAGTACACATCATGAAAAATGACCTGCCAGGAGACCTTCCCATTTAAATTGTGGGGTATCTAGCTTGAGCATGTCCTCTGATCACAAGCATTAGAGCATGGGACAAAGGCAATTATTCCTCAGGTAGCAAAACCCGTTATTATGGGTTTATAGGTTAAACCCTGCATTTTATATTCTGAAAGGAGGCTTGCAGACAGCCAGTTTTAGCTTAAAGGCACTACTAAAACTAGGGATAGATTGCCCCTTCCATGGAAAACCCATGGGAAGTGGGAAGGAAAACTGAGATTTATGTCATGAAGTTTACCTAGATTATTCTGCCTGGGGAGTGGGGTTTATAATGAGGCAGCTGAACAGTGGAGGTGTCAGCCACCAGTACCCACAATTCCTGAATATGTAGATGGATTTCATGAAATTCACTGGAGGCTAGGGCCATCTGTGCATGGTGTGATCCAAGGACCTCTTGATGCTGACTGGCAGAGGGCACAGAGGTGCATAAGGGTTACAAGGATCCCCTGGATCTGGTATTTACATTCTAGTTCACCAATGGGTGTCATGTAAGGTTCTTCTTCGATTGATTGCAAATGTGTATTCCACAAAGGTGCGCACATGCCTAGTGCGCCAAAAGCCAGAGAACTTTGCTGAGCAGTATCAGTTGGGGCGACACACATGCCCTTGGAACCCCTTAACCTCTCCCATGGCTATTTAAGGGCCACACCACCCCAACTCCCCTCAGTTCTTTCTCACCACCAGAGCATTCTATGTGGTATAGAATCATAGGATTGGAAGGGACATTGAGAGGTCATCTAGTCCAGTCCCCTGCACTCATGGCAGGACTAAGTATTATCTAGACCATCCCTGACAAGTGTGTGTCTAACCTGCTCTTAAAAATCTCCAATGATGGAGATTCCACAACCTCCTTGGGCAATTTATTCTAGTGCTTAGCTCATGTTTTGCTATCATAGTACTTTTTCTGTGAATGCATGTGCATAGTTATAGTAAGTTACAGTAGTACCCTTAGTATTCAGTTAGTAGTCATTTAGTTAAGGAGAATTTAGCTTGGTGCAATGCCTTCGCCAGGTTTTAAGCACTGCCTGTTGTGTGGGGTGGTTATCCCTAAACACTCGGTACTTATTGTGCCTTGGAGATCCTATGCCCAGTCCAGAGCAAGGTCAACAAAATCTTTGGTAATCTCGCCTCCCAAGCTGCCCAGGCTGGAGACACAGACTGATGTTGCTCCATCTGAACTGGTTCATCCTGAACCATTGTTCAGCAGCAGGTATTGATGCAGGAGATCCGATTGGCTCTATTTTCTTCCTCTTCTTGCTCACCAGATGATTCCACAGTGCTGGATTTGTTTTCTCCTGTGTCTGAGGATTGTAAGTGTTGTCAAGAACTCGTGAGGCAAATGGCTACAGGGCATTCAGGATGAGTTTGTTCAGTAGAATAGCCATAAATTGGTGGACATTATTCAACTTTCGGCACCAGGGAGGGTAGCTCTCCCTATAAATAAACCTATTTTGGAACCCACAAAAGCCTTGTGGCATACCCCAGCTTCCTTACGTCCTATAGCAAACCATTCAGATAAGTGGTACTATGTCCCCATGCAGGGGTATCAGTGTTTTAAGTCCCATTTGGCCCCTAACTCTCTTCTTGTAACAGTGGCAAATGAGAGGTTGTGAAAAGGGAGGTATAAGTTTACACCTAAAGAAGTCTAAGAGGTTAGATTTAATGAGAAGGAAGATTTATTTTATCTCCTCACTATAGATGTGCATTGCTAATCAACAGCCTAATCAATAATAATATGTATTATCAACATATGACTTTGTCAACTGGGATGCGGTGTCCAAATTTACATATAAATTGCCAGAATCCTCCAGGGAAGAGTTTAAAGTTTTAATTGTGAAAGATCATCTAGTTGTTAAGACCTCACTGCAATCAGCACTGGATGTGCTGGACACTTCCTCCAGAACTATGGCCTCACCGGTAACAATGAGAAGAGCCTCTAGGCAGGGCCAGTTAGATAGGCAGAACTGCAGAGACTCAATGCGTGTAGGGAGGAGGGGTTTAGATTTATTAGGAACTGGGGAACTTTTGGGATAGGGGGAGCCTATACAGGATAGATGGGCTCCACCTAAACCAAAATGGAACCAGATTGCTGGCACTTAACATTAAAAAGGTTGTAGAGCAGTTTTTAAACTAAGGGCTGGGGGAAAGCCGACTGGCGCGGAGGAGCACACGGTTTGGACATCCCTTAGGAGAGGATGTATTAATAGAGAATCTCTATGTCCTAGTGAGGACGAGAGGATGGAAAATGATAAAATACAGGCAGGATCTGATCAGAAACAGTCAAATAAAAAAGAGTCCCATTCAATTACATCGTGTAATGGCAGACAGCTAAAAGGAGACAAGTTTTTAAAGTGTTTATATACTAATGCTAGAAGTCTAAATAATAAAATGGGTGAACTAGGGTGCCTCGTATTAAATGAGGATATCGATATAATAGGCATCACAGAAACTTGGTGGAATGAGGATAATCAACGGGATACAGTAATACCAGGGTAAAAAATATATTGGAAGGACAGAACAGGTTGTGCTGATGGGGGAGTGGCATATGTGAAAAAGCATAGAATCAAATGAAGTAAAAATAATAAATGAATCAAACTGTACCATAGAATCTCTATGGATAGAAATTCCATGCTCTAATAATAATATAGCAGTAGGGATATATTACTGACCACCTGACCAGGATGGTGATAGTTACTGTGAAATGCTCAGGGAGATCAGGGAGGATATTAAAATAAAAAACTCAATAATAATAATGGAGGATTTCAGTTATCCCCATATTGACTGGGTACACATCACCTCAGGACAGGATGCAGAGATAAAGTTTCTTGACACCTTAAATGACTGCTTCTTGGAGCAGCTGGTCCTGGAACCCACCAGAGGAATGGCAATTCTTGATTGATTCCTAAGTGGAGCACAGGATCTGGTCCAAGAGGTGACTATAGCTGGATCGCTTGGTAATAGTGACCATAATATAATTAAATTTAAAATCCCTGTGGCAGGAAAAACACCACAGTGGCCCAGCACTGTAGCATTTAATTTCAGAAAGGGAAACTACACAAAAATGAGGAGGTTAGTTAAACAGAAATTAAAGGGTATAGTGCCAAAAGTGAAATCTCTGCAAGCTATGTGGAAACTTTTTTAAAGACACCATAATAGAGGCTCAAGTTAAATGTATACCCCAAATTAAAAAATATAGTAAGAGAACCAAAAAAGAGCCACTGTGGCTAAACAACAACATAAAAGAAGCAGTGAGAGGCAAAAAGGCATCCTTTAAAAAGTGGAAGTTAAATCCTAGTGAGGAAAGTAGAATGGAGCATAAACACCAGCAAATGAAGTGTAAAAACACAATTAGGAAGGCCAAAAAAGAATTTGAGGAACAGTTAGCCAAAGATTCCAAAAGTAATAGCAATTTTTTTTAAAGTACATCAGAAGCAGAAAGCCTGCTAAACAGCCAGTAGGGCCGCTGGATGATCGAGGTGCTAAAGGAGCACTCAAGGATGATAAGGCCACTGAGGAGAAACTAAATGAATTCTTTGCATCAGTCTTCACAGCTGAGGGTGTGAGGGAGATTCCCAAACCTGAGCCATTCTTTTTAGGTGACAGATCTGAGGAACTGTCCCAGACTGAGGTATCATTAGAGGGGTTTTGGAACAAATTGATAAATTAAATATCAATAAGTCATCGAGACTCAAATGTGAAATTGCAGAACTACTAACTGTAGTCTGTAACCTATCATTTAAATCAGCTTCTGTACCAGATGACTGGAGGATAGCTAATGTGACGCCAGTTTTTAAAAAGGGCTCCAGAGGTGATCCTGGCCATTACAGGCCTGTAAACCTGACTTCAGTACCAGGCAAACTGGTTGAAACTATAATAAAGAACAATATTGTCAGACATATAGATGAACATAATTTGTTGAGGAAGAGTCAACATGGTTTTAGTAAATGGAAATCATGTCTCACCAATCTACTAGAATTCTTTAAGGAGGTCAACAAGCATGGGGACCAAGAGGATC